TCCATATGAAAAGATGGAATTTTCAATTCAGTTCTCCAATTAAAAACAAGGACCAGTCTTTGTGGGTACAAACCATAAAATTAAAGATGTACAGTTTCTTTCAAATGACACGCACATGCAGTTGAAAATTGATATAAAAGACAAAACGATGTTCGTTAACGTCACACTACATCCATTTCATTCTTCTGCTGCTGACACTAATTTCCATTGCTGCGTAGTTTCGTTTTCGTTTTCCATTATAGTTTTTTTTTTTAATAAATAGTTAAAATATCTAAAAATATTAATTTATAAATTGATTTTAATTTATTAAATAATAAATATTATTAATAATTTAAATAATTCAATAATAATCATATTTCGTTAAAAATAAAAGATCATGGATTCAAATCACATAATATAAGTAAATGGAATGGAATAAAAGAAAAGATAAGAGAAAATTACCTTCGACAACCAATATAAGATAAAAGTAATAAATATGAATTATTTTATTCATTAGTAATTATTATTAATAATTAAATTAAATAAAATTAATATTTTTTAACACAATTTAGTGGCCTTAATAAATATTTTGTTGGCCATAATCACACCTACTTAAAACGTGCTAATTAGGCATACAACAATGATTTGTTGATGACTTTTTTTTTTTTATTTTACTTACATAATGTGAGGTAATTATCTTTTATCCTTTATCCCACTCTAACTGCATGTCATGCGATTCAAATTTAATACATCTTATTTTTAGTGAAAGAAAATAACAATTAAATTGTTTGAGTCATTGATAATAAATCTGTATCAAGCGAATGGAATGAATGCAAACTGATGCATAAAATAGGGATTTTTTTCGTTGTTGTTGTGATTAACTGATTACTTAGCAAATTATGCATGCATTCGCTGAATACTTAGGGAGTCCACTTGAATTGGGTCAATCTACTTGGGCTGGATTCTGAATTTTTGAGGCCCAGGGTTAATTCTGTCATAGCGGAAAAATAAACTTGGGTTTTGTTTGGTACTTTAACCCGGTCCACTTTCATGGAAACGGATCCTCCTCTTAAGTCCGAGCAGCCATTACTAAAACTGTAAAACCTCCAAAACCCAACCTTGCTCGCTTCTCAATTGCTGCTACTACAAGAAATCGAGAATGAGGGTGGGTAAGAAGAGCCCAATGAAGGTCAATTCCCTGAAATATAAAGACAAGGAACGAAAGATTAAGGAGAATAAAGCAAAGAGAAGATGAAGCAGAGAAAGAACCCAGCCCCAGGAAGATTTTATTGAGGAGGAGCAACCTGAACAAGAATCAGCTAGTGGGTCGGAGTCTGCTATGAGGTATTTTCGTTCACAGTATCTTAAAGATGGATGTTTTTTGTGTGAATTTTGATGTGCTATTCTTTTTTCAATGAAGTTATTGCTTGACGATGTGAGTTCGGGTGTTTTCATTCAATTTTGCGATTTTAGGACTTCTTTGCGGATTATTACTCTGAGGAAGAGGGATCCTCAACGAAGTCAGAAGATTTAGACAATGAATCTTCTGGAGACGAGGTACATGGTAATTACCTTCATTTGTTTCTTTTTGATGTACCATTTACTGAGTTAAACAATGCTGGAAAAGAGAAAGTGGAAATGTTTATCACCGTAATAATATGGAAATGGCAGGGCTTTGGAGAGAATGATGACAAGGAATCCCATCAAGGAGTTCTGAGTTAAAATTGGACAGTGATCACCATCGAGACAGGAGTGGGAGTTCTGAATCCCATCAGGGAGTTGAAGAGCGTGGTTCCTTTGAAGATGAGGTTGGTGTTGCTACTGTTCTGTTTTAGAAGGCAAACACTTCATTGCTGTTCCTATCTTTTTATAACCCTCTTTACCCTCAAATTTTCTTTTGGGTCATTAGGTGGCACCTTGAAATACTTTTGCAGATGTTCCATTGGAGTAGTATAGAGATGAGAAACATTTTGGATATGACATTACTGGGAAGAAGATAACAAAAAAAGAAAGACAGGATAAATTGGATTCATTTCTTACTTGTAAATGAACTACTTTAATTCTCAGGCACAAGATCTATGATGAGGATAATGACGAGGAGATAGAGCTAATGAAAGAAGAGACCAGACTTGTTGGTAGGATGCTCGAAGGACAGGCACCACATGCTGATTTTGAACCTTATGAGGTCTGTAGTTCCATTCATTCTCCATTTTAGTCAGGTACTAATAGTATTTGACCTTAAATTATGTGTTCTGTAGATCAAAATTGTATTCCTATTTCTTCAGCCTTATGTTGATTGGTTTAAATGGGATGATGCGAAGCATCCCTTGTCCAATGCACTAGAACCAAAAGGGAGGTTCATTCCTTCAAAATGGGAGAATAAAATGATAAATCCCTTTACAATCCGACAGTTTCCTTTGAAATGTATGATGGTGTATCTTATACCTTGACATGGTCCAATTGGGTTGATTCAAGGGGTGTTTTTTTTTTTTTTTTAGACGAGGTTAATTGGTTGAAAGAAACCTTTACAAGAAAGGGTGGAGGGGGGGAATGAAAATTTGAACCCCAATTATATAGGTGAGAAAATGCTTTTTTGTCAATAATTTGATCAACTCTTGTAGTCTTCTTTCTCTTCCTTGGCCCTAAGCTCTACTTTTTCCAGCAGGAGCTTCATAGGAGGAGGCGTCCACCCGAGGCTGATTCTCAACAACATGAATCCCAAATAGCTTGAAAGAGCTCTTTTCTACTTTCTCATCTGTAAAATCAAATTGCTTGACTACACCATCTTCAAACCTGCGATGTGATTTACAAGAAGCTTCATCGGAGTTACCGATCAGTAAATTGCCAGCGGTGGCCACGGAATGCTTAAAAGATGGCTCATCTGCTCTCTTCACTTCAATCCTGTAGTACAAATGCCCTGCTTCATGTTCTTCCTTGTAAAGGGTCACAACGTCGCCCACTTTTAGTTTGTTTTCAAGAGCAAAGTGTCTCCACCCTCTGGAAAATACAGGCTTTTTATAGCCTTCTTTGCGAGTTGTGCACATAATTCGCCATTCGGTAGTCCCATGCCACACGTGCAACTCCACCGCGTGGTCGCCTCCGTTGGGTAACAAGGAGTTCACAATCCTGGTGGGGATGGCTAGCCTCCTGCGGACGTCAGTGGTAGTTAGTGACTTTGAGAAGAGCTGTATCACCATGGAGAAAATAGAGGAGGTCTCTGGATTTGGATTTGGAATTGGATAGCGTGAAAAGCTTCGAATTTGCAGATATATACAGATATATTTGTGTATGTGTGTCTGATATATATATATGTGTGTGTGCGCGTATGTCAGTGGGCATGTGGTGGTGGGGAGGGGGGGGGGTTGTGAAGTGGGTGTGTGGGATCTATACACTATACTCTATTCAAAACGGGAACATCAGTGGCGTCTCAAACTCAAATTTGAAGAAAACTCATCAATTTAATAGATCTCGCCTTCTCTTTGGTTTTTTGGACAATCTGGAGAGAGGAAAAAACACTGTTCACGTACAGGCTGCCTCTTTTTCGCTTTGTAATTTTTACCTTTCTATGGATTCCCCTAATTGCCCTCATAACCTGATCTACAACTTGTGCTGGCTGCAGAGCATATATCCAGAGACCCATTAGAAGATGCTTCTCCTTTGAAAAAATCTCCAGATGCCACCAATTCTTTTAGCTCCTGTGTTTTGGATGCTCTCTTTGTATGCTTTTGTGCATTTCAAGCTTATCTTAGTGGTCTTTTGGGTTTGAATGTTTGCATTTGGAAATGAAGTCTTTATGGCCAAAGTTGCTGTTGCGTGTTTCATTGTTTTGATCTGCATTCAGCAGTGTCTTTGTGGTTAGTGTGAATATTTTTACTCTTTCTGAATTTGTCTCTCATCTTCTATATATAACCGTGGCATATCTGGGAAAATGCTTGTATATTTCCAATGGTAAAATTTTGCTTTACAATTAAAAAAGGTTTAATGTAGAAAATGATCCCTTTTGAAGTGGTGAGTTCTATTTTGCTTCTATGTTTCTTTAGTAATTAAGTATTTTTGGGTTTGTGAATCATCAAGATCAAGTTATTAATAAATTTGACTTTGATGATGCGGTTTTTTCAAGCCTGTAAATTACCCAAGTCAAAGACTTGACATCCCAAAGACTTTTAAAATTCTATTTCAGAGTCTTGTCAAGTGCAAGTCTAATTTAATTTTATGTTTTTCTTTTTTCTTTTTTTGTAATTTATTTAAGTTATAAAATCTATGTTCTAAAATTAGATCATCCATATTATGCATGAATCCAACTAAGAAAATTTGTAGGACGAGACTTCAATAATAATAGATCCATCAATGACAAAAGAGAAAGAGGAGTACTAATGGCACTCCCCCCTTGAACACTGGCTTCAGCACTTTTTCCAACTTACAATTGGTTTTTCCTCTGTTTACAGAAGAGAGATCGATTCCATTATTGCCACTCTTTCTTCCTCATCATTGAATACTGCTCTTTGGTTCAGTATTTTGAGTATTGTGGATTGATATCAGACCTGGGGTTAAAATTTTTACTTTACATCTAAATTATTGTGTTCCAATTTGGTTCTCACTTTGTTGATTCACTAGATCTACACACATTGGTATGATGGTTTCCACTTTCCAATGAGGTTGACTGGCGGATATTTTGTGGCCATAACTTTTAATTTTGTTTATGGCGTTAGAATCGAATATGAAACTAGAAAATTCCCAATTTAGATTTATTGAATTCGAGAGTTCTGATGCTTAGTTTATAAAACAGTCACCCATCAATGGATTTTCGATTGTGTTCAATGTATATTTAGAAACCACAGAATTCGTGAATGCACTGTGATTGAGGTGATAATTTGCCTTGATCCCTCGAGTCCCATGGGGGTCCTGTCATGAGAATGGGACGGGAAGAATATTTTTTCCTGTGGAATAAAAATGGGGGCTATTTTTCTATTGTGAAATTTTATAAAAAAATTTTTCCATCTCGCAGAGTCCCATGGGGATCTCAATCCCCACAAAAAATGTATATACAAATCTATTTTATTTTAAATTTAATTAACCTTCAAATTTAAACCCAACCCAATAAAAATTAAACTTAATTCAATTTTACTCAACCCATTATTAACCATTTAACCCTAACTCTACTCATCTCTCATCACTCTCACCTTCCCATCCCCTTATGCTGTCAGCACTCTTCAAACCCAAAATCCCTCCATCCTTGTCCTTCTAGCCTTCTCACCCTTCTGCCCTCAATTTCACTCAATGTACTGCTAGTCTGGAGCTACGGCTAGAGTTGCCATTGTTGGAGCTGCTACTGCCGAAACTATTGCTGCCAGAGCTGCTGCTGCCAGAGTGGAACTACATACCATTGGTCCGGAAATATTGCTGGTTTGAAGCTGCTGCTGGATTGCTAGGATGGGGGAATGGGGACCTTGGCGGGGAATGGGGATCCCCGTGAAGATTTTTGACAGGGAGCAAGCCATTCGCAGGGACAGAAAGGGGGATGGACTCTCTGACCCCACATGGCCCCATTGACATCCCTAATTGTAACAGGATAATTAAGAGGGAAAAAAAAAAATTAGAGAATGAAGAGAGAAAGCTTATGCAACTCTTATAGCTCCTCTTTTTCAACCTCAAATTGAAGTTAAACAAACAAACAAAAAAAAAATCAAAATTCTTTGTACCAAAAGGCATAGTAAGGGAACTGGAATTTTGTCCATTTTTCTTTCCTTCTTGCGCCAATCACCTGGTAATAAATGGAAAAGTTTTCGACTCTATTAGGTGCAAGAAAATAGCTGAATCATGACGAAAAGAGGGTGGCCAATGCTATTACTTACTAACTTCCTTCTTTTTTTTCGGTATTTAGCTTTCCAACTGTTTATTTTTTACTCATAAAATTAAAATTTAAGATTTTATTTAAAAAACATTAAACTTCTTCTGCACACGGATCAATGGGTAATTGGTATTATTAAATAATATTAATGACAATGTTTTACCTGATGCTTAGGGGGTTCACTTGAATTGGGTCAAGGTACTCGGGCTGGGTTCCCAATTTTTGAGGCCCAGGGTTAATTCTGTCATAGTCGAAAAACAAACTTGGGTTTTATTGGCCATTTAAACCCGGTCCACTTTGATGGAAACGGATCCTCCTTAGGTCCGAGCAGCCATTACTAAAACCTCCAAAACCCTAGTCTGTTCGCCTCTCCTTTGCTGCTACTACGCGAAATCGAGAATGAGGGTGGGTAAGAAGAGCTCCGTTCTGGTCAATTCCCTGAAAAAGAATGACAAGGAAAGAACTATTAAGGAGAAAAAGGTGGATGAAAGCAAAAAGAAGATGAAGCAGAATACAAATACCAAGGAAAGAACCCAACCCCAGGAAGATTTTATTGAGAAGAAGCAACCTGAACAAGAATCAGCTAGTGGGTCGGAGTCTGACTATGAGGTATTTTCGTTCACAGTTACTTAAAGATGGATGCTTTTTGTATGAATTTCGTTATGCTTTTCTTTTTCCAATGATGTTAATAGTTGACGATGTGAGTTCTTGGTGTTTTCATTGAATTTTGTTTAAATTATAGCTTATGTCAAAGGTTGAACTTTTTGTGACTTTAGGACTTCTCTGAGGATTATAACTCTGAGGAAGAAGGATCCTTAACCGAGTCAGGAGCTGTAGACAGTGAAACTTCAGGAGATGAGGTACATGGTAATTGCCTTCATTTGATTACTTTTGATGTAGCATTTACTGAGTTAAATAATACTGGAAAGGAGAACATGGAAGTTTTTATCACTGTAATATGGAAATGGCAGGGCTTTGAAGAGAGTGATGACAATGAAGGCGTGGATAGTGATCACGGTCAAGACAGGAGTGGGAGTTCTGATTCTCATCAGGGAGTTAAAGAGAGTGATTCATCTGAAGATGAGGTTGGTGCTGCTATTGTTCTGTGTTAGAAGGTAAACACTTCATTGTTGTTCCTATTGTTTTTTTAATCCTCTTTTCTCCCAATTTCTCTTTTGGGTCATTAGGTGGCACCTCGAAATACAATTGGAGATGTTCCGTTGGAGTGGTATAGAGATGAGAAACATATTGGATATGACATTGCTGGGAAGAAGATAACAAAGAAAGAAAGACAGGATAAATTGGATTCCTTTCTTGCAAATGTTGATGACTCAAAAAATTGGTTACTTCTCTGTTCTTTTTTCCCCTGACCTGATACCACATGCAGTCACACATACACATGGTTATAAATGAACTACTTTAATTCTCAGGCGCAAGATCTATGATGAGTATAATGATGAGGAGATAGAGCTAACGAAAGAAGAGACCAGACTTATTAGTAGGATGCTCAAAGGAAAGGCACCACATGCTGATTTTGATCCTTATGCGGTCTGTAGTTCCACTCATTCTCAATTTTAGTCAGGCAATAATAGTATTGGACCTTAAATTATGTGTTTTCTGTAGCTCAAAGTTGAATTCCTACCTGTTTTTTGCAGCCTTATGTAGATTGGTTTAAATGGGATGATGCGAAGCATCCATTGTCCAATGCACCAGAACCAAAAAGGAGGTTCATTCCTTCAAAATGGGAGAATAAAATGGTAAATCCCTTTACAATTTTCTTGTTAATAAGTTTTGTAACAATTTATATGACCTTTTGCTTGGAGTTGAAAACACTAATCTTTTTGGGAAGTTGGACATTGTTCACGTTTCATCCTTCAATCTTCTTGGTGAATCTTCAGGTTGTTAAGCTTGTAAGAGCCATTCGCAAAGGGTGGATAAAGCCTGAGAAGCCAAAAGAAGAAGAACCCAGTTTCTATCTCCTATGGGGAGATGATTCCAGTACAGCTGAGAGTAATAGGAACTTGTCATACATACCCCCACCAAAGCCAAAATTTCCAGGTATGCCTTTTAGCCATCATATGATCTGAATTACTAGCTGTTTGTGTGATTTATGAAGTATTTGAAAGCATTGTTCTAATCAACTTTCAGGTCATGAGGAATCATATAATCCTTCTTTAGAATACATACCAACTCAAGAAGAGATTAATTCTTATCAGCTTATGTATGAGGAAGATCGCCCTAAATTCATACCTAAAAGGTAGTATTCAATTTATGAATTTTTTGCTGTGTATATTTGGGGTATTTAACATATAATGAAACTTGAAAGGATGTGCAATCTTTAGTCGTATGTGTTGTCATTTACTTGAAATCAAGCAATTTTCATGTTTGAATGCTCAGGTTCACATCCTTCAGAAGTATTCCAGCATATGAAAATGCTGTCAAGGAATCATTTGAACGTTGTTTGGATCTATACTTGTGCCCTAGAGTGCGCAAGAAACGTGTAAGTTAGAGATTCATATTGGAATAAATAAAATTTGTGCACATCATTTGCTTTACCTTTGAAGTCCTTTATCATGCTCTCTGAATTTCTTTCTCCCACAAATGTCATGTTAATCAAAGTTTCCACTTGTGTGCTTCAGATTAATATAGACCCTGAATCTTTGAAGCCTAAGTTGCCTAGTCGAAAAGATCTCAGGCCTTACCCGGTAACATGTTTCCTTGAGTATAGAGGTCATCAAGGAGCAGTTACATCAATATCTGTTGAACATTCTGGACAGTGGATTGCTTCGGGTATGAATGTTCTGCTTATAGGCCTACTGTTGTTTCTGTTGATGAATAAAAAGTCAAAACGGATTCTAAATCTCTTGATTTCTTAATGATGATTCTAATCAGCTGATTTTTTTTTTTTTTTTAATATCTACAAAGGTTCAATTGATGGAACAGTTCGTGTGTGGGAAGTAGAGACTGGTCGATGCCTTAGAGTCTGGGCAGTTGATGAAGCTGTACAGCATGTAGCATGGAATCCTTTGCCGGAGCTTCCTATCTTGGCAGTTGCTTTGTACGTCTAATTTGACTGTTTCTTAGTTGTTTTAATTTCACTATCTTTTTCACATTGTTTCCCATGTATAGTATAGTGGTGGCATGTCTATTTTTTGGCTGCTGGTGCATATTATTTAGCCATACAAGTTAGTTTTGCAACCTTCCCTTTATCAGATCTAAATAACACAATTTTTTTTTTCTTTTCAGGGGAGCTGATGTACTCATTTTGAACACTGGGCTTGGCAATGAAGAAGAGCAGAAGAAGATCAAAGAGCTTCTGCGTGTTGAGACACCTGCAGCTCCTGATGAATCTGGTCTGTTTGAATGGCTATTATTTTCATTTTTTATCAAGTGAACACAATCTGATTCTCCAAATCAAATTTCAATGTTCAGGTGACACGGCATCTGTTTCAAGCTGGCTTCAAGATGAAAAGAATGAGGCAATCAGGCTAAAGCATTTCAAGGTACTTTCAGTTCCCCCTTTCTAGGAACAATATCACTGAAGACTAATGGAGGATCTTCTATGAAAATTGAAGAACTTAAAAGAGTCTGTTTTTGCTCTTGCAGACTGTGTCTTCTGTAGAATGGCATCGTAAAGGGGATTATCTCTCTACAGTAATGCCAGCAGATATCCTTCTACTGGTGTTATTTCTATTATTATATTTTCTATTCTTTTTTATGCAATTAATATCATAATTAGATAGGGGCCAGGGGGAGTCTAAACTCTAAAGAGTCTATTTCTTCCTGAAAAAATTGCCTTTGTTATTGGCCCTTGGTTTGGTCCCATTTTGGCATTTTGCTAAAATATTAGATGACTTTAAATATTGGTGTCATGCATCATCTGCTTGATGGCTGGGGGGGTTGATTTACCTAGATAGTAGATGGCAAGATGGTAATCTATGTGAAAAAAAATTGCCTAGTTGGTCCAGGTTACTAGAGTTTCACTTGTGATTCCTTGTGATCACACATCATTTCTGTCAAAACGTGGTTCACTTTTTTATTATGCAATTTTTCTTATCTTTTGTTTGGGGCAGGGGGCTGTAGTTTGATTGTGCCACTTGATATGAATAAGTAATTGATTTGATCAGTTTGATGGATTTCTTAACTTGTTAATTACGTGAAAAAAGAGCAATACTTATACACCAGATCTCCAAAAGGGTTACCCAAATACTCCCTTTTAAGCTCCATGGACTTCCGGTATCATCAGTTTTTCATCCCAATCGTTCTATCTTCTTTATTGCAACAAAGAAGACTGTTCGTGTATATGATCTTCTGAAGCAAAAGCTCATTAAAAAACTTGAGACTGGATTGCGTGAAGTATCATCAATATCAGTCCATCCTGCTGGTATTTCTCACTGGTTTTCACAAAATCTAATTTGTTAGCACCATCTCTTACTCTTTTTCCCTAATTACCCACTAAACACATGGAATTACTTTCATTTCAGGTGATAATGTTATTGTGGGGAGTAAAGAAGGAAAACTATGTTGGTTTGACATGGACCTTTCTTCCAAACCTTACAAAACCCTCAAGTATGTTGCAAAAAATATTTGAAACTAGATATATATGTAGTTGCATCATTTATCAACTTATTTATTTTGTGCTGCAATTAGGTAACACAAATTTATTTTGTTTTTGTTATATATATACCTATTCTTATGCTACTACTTTGGAACATCTCAGGTGTCACCCAAAAGACATTACAAGTGTAGCCTTCCATCGCTCATACCCCTTATTTGCATCTTGCTCGGATGACTGCACAGCATATGTTTTTCATGGCATGGTTTATGCGGATCTTAACCAGAATCCTCTTATCGTTCCATTGGAAATTCTTAGAGGCCATACAACTTCAAATGGCAGAGGTGAGTGCTCTGACTTTTTGTGTATAGTGAGAATTACAAGAATGGCAAGAAATGGATGGGCTTAAACAAATGAAATTGAACTTGACCTAAATGAACCTGGTTAACATGCCAATGAATGTGGAATTGTATTTGTATGTGTATGGAGACACTGATCTTCTGTTTAACTATTAGTGTTGTGGTTTTAAAGTTTGGATTATAATTATCAGTTGCAGATATTATTATGCGGCCATTAATTGACATGCTTGAAAGCTAATTTTGTGACTGATGATTGGCATTACAGGGGTTTTGGACTGTAAGTTCCATCCAAGGCAGCCATGGCTATTCACTGCTGGTTCAGATTCTTTGATCAAACTGTATTGCCATTAAAATAATGGGGAAGGAAGAAAGATTCATTAATTTTTGGCTCATACGGTTATCAATTCACCAGAAGGGTGGCTGATTTAGATCTTCCCTTTGCTGATTTTTGACTCAAGAGTGTAACATATATCGTGAACTCAACAATATTCTGCCTATTGTCTTGTTGTTTCATTTTCTCATTTTAAAAATTTTATAATCCATTCCAATATTTCATAACGGAGTATGGACTCTGGAATGGTAAATTTCTTTGTACCAAAGTTTCTGAATCGACTCTACTAGCAAAGAATTATTCGGACAACTATGATCCTTTGAGTCTACATTTTTTTTCCATTTTTGGGTTTGAACGCTAACCATAACTTTAAATTAAAAGTTTTTTAATCAGTGAAATCAGCTCAATTAAATATTGTTGGTTTTTAAGTCTCTGGAATTGCAGAACCTCAACCATTGTTTACGGAAGTATATAACAGATTCAGTGGAACATGAACAGTGTAAACTCAATGCCTGCTTCTTGCATTTATTTTCAGCCTTTTGTATTTACCTTGAATTGAAAATACCAGTTCATCATAACAGATAAAAATAATTTAAAAAAAGAAAAAAGAAAAAAAGAAAAAAAGCCACGTTATGGAACTTTCAAAAGTATCACAGTAATGGCATCCAACTGAATGAATGAGCCGTACGCCATGATACTAATAACTATTTATAAGGGTTTTACAAGTTTTATTAAATAATTTTTTACCTTCGAAATATCAATGAGTAAAAAAGGATGTATATTCATATTACAGAAGTTGAACTGCTGCAATGGCTGGGATTTTCTCTCGCAATTTTTGAGTAACAGCCACTCTAACGGTCATGACTGATGCTGCCGGACCTGATATACGAATTTTCACTATTGGCTCCTCGATGGCAACTAATTCCAGAGAGCCACCAGCTGCCCCAACAAGGTATGGCCTAATTTCTTCAAGTACCTGACATTTCCCAGTTGTACAATTAGCAATAAATTCTACCAGTAACTTGATAATCTATTTGAAAGCATAAACACTTAAGGGAATAAAAAAAAAATGTCATATTTTTGTGCAAGGATTTCAGCAATTCAGTGGATTGCACAAAATAATTATAAAAAAAGGGAAAAAATAAAAAGGATAGTTGTTTATTAAGCACTCTGAATGTATATCTATATCATCAAGAACTAAAAATTAGTCTCCTTATGTTTAGATCAAGGGAATACTATGAAACTAATCAATCATTCACAGATCACAGTATCACATGCGATGTGGAAAACAAGAGGTGCTTGAGCAAGACTCCCATTAACAGCTAGGCATATTCCTCTAAACCAACAAACATCATGAAGAATGTGCAATGCAATAATTAGCTCTGCCCATCCTATGTGCCATTTCACTTAATCTAAGGTCACATCCTCTATAAAAAGATAAACTGAAATTCCATTTCTAACAATCTAAAGCATATATGTTTTCCGACAATCCTTGCTTACTCCTACCTCACCAGTCATCAAAGTTTATGGTCTTTAATAATAAGCAAAGCCAATCCCCCATAGACATCACAAATACTTAGTCCCAGAATAGAAAGAGCTACATGAATTAAGTACCAAAAGAAACCACTGTAAGAGGAAATGTCAATGAAAAATAAATTCAACTAATGAATACTTAGTCTAAGTGATACATTAACAACCGCTCATCATGTGAGTGCTTAAAGCAAATTGGGATTGATAGTGATCGTCATAGACTTCTAGAAACATCATGAAGCAAAACAACACAAAGAACTGTAAGTTACTAAATGTAACGGATGTTCATCATGCTGTCACAGAGAGACATACCAGTTAAAAGGGATGGTTCGAATTGATGGTTACATGCAAATTACTTCCACAAGATTTGAAGCTTATTCAAATGTTGATTTTAGAATGAAGATAATCTTTGAGGTAGCTTCAATGCAGTACTATTATAAGTTTAATTATGTATAAAAGAAATGAGAAGTAAACTAAAGAAGCTCCAAAGCTTTCAATGTAATTACCTTCTCTATATTTTCTTCATTCAGCTCAAGGCCAGTCTCTTCATCAGTTATTGGCTCCACTGCAACAATTTCCGGGATCTTCTCCATTAAACGTTTCTCAATACCCATCTTCATCGTCATGACCGAACTCGGACAGGAGCCGCAGGCTCCCTGTAGCTTCAATCTTACAACATTACCATCAATCTCGTGTAATGCAACGTTCCCCCCGTCTGCAATGAGATAGGGTCGAACTTCATCCAACACACTCTCTACACTCTCCGCCGTCAGCGGCAACTCCAATGATGAATCGGGCGTGGCCACCGCCATAACAACTGCAGAGCAGCTAAATAAAGCTAAAGCCCATAGCTTTTAATGAAAAACAGCAAACCCAAAATCAAATACAATCATAAACAGCATACTGAAATCAAAGAAACTGACTTTTCCGGCGGTTGATAGCAGGTGATCGAGACCGGATGCGCAACACTAGATTAAGCCCGTCCACCGGGGAGACTCGGGTTCCAAAGAAGCTCAGGCTCTGCGAGAATCAGGGATGGTTACCAGGGTTGTAGAATGAAATTCTAAGCAAGAAAATTCATTAAAATTCAGAAATTCATACCTTGGTTGTAGATGGGCGAGAAGAGGAGGGTTCTAGGGTTTGTTGCGCTCGGCAGTAACCGGTGGGGTTTAGCACCACGGATTGCATCTCCAAATCGATCGGCGGTATGGCGGGACAAGAGACAACCAGAGAGATTCAGATTAAGGATTCCGATTTTCGTTTTCGCCGGATACCGGGAATGATTTTATAGGGCCGTGTTTGGTACGGTGGCGTCTGAGATTTTCAAGCAACATGACAAAAGCACATACCAAAGCATCTTTTCCCTTCGTGTAATAAAAATTAAAATTAAGGATAAAAATTTTAAAAATAGATATTTAACTTATGTAATGTTATAATTATACTGTCGTAATTATAAATATGATATGATATTAAATAAATAAATATTATATATAAATTTTAAATAAAAAATAATTATATAATTATATTGTAAATTTATAATATGACATTACAATTATAATATTATTTTATTTAATTTTAAGTTACTTACAATAAAAGAAAGTAGAAATCTGAACTAACTAATATTTAGAATGTTAAGGTTATAGTAAAATTATTTAACCACCTTACCAATTAATCCATTAATAATATATTTAGTCAAAAAAAATTAAAAACATAAATAAAATAATTAAAAATTAAAAATAATATAAATGACTTCCCGTCTCCTCAACTTGCCTTCAAAAATTTCTAGCAAAATACAGGATTACCCTCACCCTCAAACTAAATATATTATAAAAATATTTAAATCCTTTTATTATCATTTAAAATATTTTAATAATCAAAATGGGATAAATTTTCCTTCAACCCATATATAATTCCTTAAATAGTATTTTTTTAATACTAATTTTTGGATATCTTAAAATCATTTTGATTTTCGATTAATTTAAAATCGAATTAGATTGAATCTCATTAAGTAAAAAATCTTGCACAATATTCGAATTTGAGATCTTAAGAATCTTATTTAAAGAGAATTAAATTCTTTCCGCTCGAACTAATAAGTTGTTAGTATTCCCTAAAGTGTATTTGCTTACAAGGATTATTTTAGGAAAAGATAGAAACTTTCCGTTTATTATAAAAATGGACATTACTCTTGTATACATTGACGACCACAATCCTCAGTCAGAGAATGCAAGAGGGGCTCCATAAGGTACAAACTAAGAGGCCAGTTTCCAATTTCATTGATTTCATTATGTTATGAGCGAACAGAACATGCATGAGGCTTTCAAAAGAAACGATTATCAAATAGCTGTTAATGCATATGCAATTCTAATATTACAGAAGACTTTCAGAGCGTTAATCCTACCAAGCAAAACCTTCGAATCTGATATTATAAACAAACCAAGAAAGAAACTCCTTATTGAAACTAAACCCTTTACAATCAGTTTTCTTTATCACAAAATTGAGACATTCACCATAAGTAATCAGTTTCCTGCTCTCGGCATGCTTGGGCTCCATGAACGTTTGGAGGAGAGCGCATCGGCCATCCCGGAAGAGGAGGCCATCCTGGTAGGGTTGCATCTGGACTAGGAGAGAACTGGCTCAATTCAACAAATGTGCCGGTCGAGCTCTCACCTTTTCCATAAGTTCGAAAAGAAATTGATCCTCGCCTGGTAGAAGCATCTGAGTTCCTCTCAGGGCTTACCCCAATGCTTTCTTCAAGATGGCCCTGGTTAGCAATAAGAGAAACAGTATCATCGTGTTCATCAACAACCCTTCTCCTACCCTCCAAGTCATGACAGGGGTTTCCTAGAGCTAGACAATCTGCAATTGGCAAGTATACAATCATGCAAATGCAGATCCCAGCACAGCATACCAAGGCAAGAAAAGCCAGGAATGCAAGAGCTTCAAACTCAAAATCATCTGATTTAGGTGAAACTGATAAACCAAGCAAAAGAACCCTTAATGGAAGGAAACTTGAAACTGAGAATATTAATGTATAAATTCTCTTCTGCAAACCCTTATTGATAACCAATTTCAAAATTCGCCTCCCAAGCCAGAATAAGTAGACAGTCAACACAGTAGCAAAAAGGCCAAGAAGGATAGTATTCAGTAACGGGTAAGTGCAGACTGCAATATCATTAGTCTGATGAGCTGCTCTTGTGAAATATGGAGGCAATTCACGTACAGAACTCTTACCCTTGTTTAACAGTGGCCCAATCAAAATAACAATGAGTTGAAGGAGAAATACAGGAAGGCAGTAGAGAACAATATAGCCTGCAGTTTTCCCATTCCATTTTTTGTTTAGAATTCCATCCTCCATCTCTTGGAAGGGTGCACGAAGAAGAAACGCAAGAGTGAGGAAGAGGCAAGGTTCTGCAAAACCTAAATTTGAGACGATATAACATTTGCAGACTGTTTCCTGCCATTGCAAAGTGAGGGCATGTAACACTCTTCCCTCCTTTCTCAAAAAACTGAGTCGAACAATTTCACCAAATCCCCACCAGATAGCAAATAAAATGAATGTGATCCGGATTATCCAAGGGCCACCAAAATAACTCAGTCGAATAAATTCCTGTCTACGAACTCGAATGCGGAAGTAAAACAAGTAAGCAATGCAGCTCAAACCAAGAAGAACAAACAAAGCCACTAGACAAATTGTTAAGAGACCGAATGCATCGGCGGAATTTCTTGTCAGGGGCATTACCCGAATCACAGATTCCACGCATGCTACCCACCAGCATGGATACAAGAAGTCCTCTCTTAGTATATATGCTTCTGAGGTTTAATACCAGAAGCAATTCTGAGAATAATCCCGATGAAGCTAACTACTTATGATCCTCAATCAGCATAATTATCAACAGCAATCATGTAAAGTGTTCTCTCTAGCAGACCCATGTATGTCAAGTAGCAACCAATTGAAAAATAACTGATTTTTCTTTCAGATTGTGCTTTCTGCAGCATCACCTTCCTAATACGGACCAAACTTAATTGTTTATCCCAACAACCTATATGACATACAAGAATGACAAAAATTATGATTTAATTCCAATCAAAATTTTAATTTTTATTTCTCAAGGGAGAAAAAGAAAACCTCATAAAACCAACTACATTCAGCAACACAGCTAATATATTACCATAAAAGAGACAACTTCTTTCCAGATTCAGCATTTTTTGCTATTTCTCAGAAAGTCAGGGCATGTAGTGAAAAAAATGTTAGCATTGCCTCTCCTTAACCTCACTTAAGCTTGCATATCTATGATTCCTCTTATTAGAACAAATTAACAACAAATGAGAAACAGAGCAGGGGAATTCAAAATGTTTAAATTTCGCTTCATTGCCTCTTTGCTTCCATCCTCAACAACAAATCATTCAGAAAAAACTACAAATTACAATCTCTCATAGGTAAAACTTCAAAGCTAAGCATTGCATAGTTGCATACTAAACAGAAATTCACAATCTCAAAATCCTTAAGTTCATTGCTACCTCAGTTGCATGCAAGCCAATATGAAGCATAAAAAACTCGAAAAAAATAGAGACAAAAATTCAGAAACACAAGAATAGCATCAGAGAGGGAGAGAATCCGATTGACAGCCGGAAATCACATGCAATATGCAAAACTAACGAAAAGAAAGTCAACAGAGAGCTTACGAAACAGCAGAATGTTGAACCGACGAGCTCGAGAAAGGAATCGGGAAATCGTCAGAAGGAGATCGGGAAACCCTAAGTCGCGAGAATTGGAATCAGAGTGAGACAGAGGGAAGAGGGCGCACAGAGAGAGAGAGAGAAGTGAGCTGGGGAATAGGTGAGTAGGACCTTGTTGATGACAGCCTGTCTCCAGCGATGTCGTCCGAGTCTCTAGCTTCGGATCTTTCAGGTTAAGTTCGGGTCCTTCCGAGCCTGCGTGGATTTTTTTTTTTTTTTTTTTCCGAGCCTGCGTGGATATATTTTTTTTTTTGCGTTGACGGCTTTTTCTATGGCGACTGGCGAATTTTATTTTATTTTCTAAAAAGAAACACGTAGAAAAACTTTTCATTTTTGTCTTGACTCTGGAGTCTGGATGACTGATTTTTTCTATTTTATTTATCTATTTATTTTTAAGAGTATCTGGTTTTCTAATTTAATATATTTTAAATTATAAAATATTTTTATATTTTTATATAAAATAAAAATTATTATGTTTTGACATTAAAAATATTGAATTAAATTTCAACAATATGATAAATCAGACTCAAGCAATACTTATATGTAGTATATCTTTCTTTAACATAGTTTTTCGATATTTATTAAGTCAAAACATACTATTATTCATTATTCTGCATTATTTTGGGTAAATTGCAGCGTAATGAGCTAACGAACGTCATTTAATTAGATATATATATACACGGTTTATCTAATTTGTATTTTAA